TATATATATATATATATATATACATATACATACATATATATATACATACATACATATATATATATATACATACATACATATATATATATATATATATATACATGTATATATATATATATATATAAGTGTGCTGTATATAAATATATATATAACCAGCGGCAGACTCATGTCCTGGAGATGTTTCCACAATGATCCAGCCAGTTTCAGTGAGAGCCTTTTCATTCTAAAAAAAAATCTGATTTTCACTTAACATAACAAGTTAAGTTTTAAACTTTTCTTCATAGTGCAACTTGCAGCCGGATCAGTTCTTACCGAACCATAGAGTTTCCCTTTTTCACTCATGGCAACAAAGAGACCACTTCTCACTCCGAACAAAGTCACCACTCCTCTCTCCACTGGAGAAATTTCTATAAGACCTAGAATAAAAAAAGAAACAACAAAAATCTATTAGCTTCAAAAATGAAAAGCAGACTGAGTGGAAATAAATACTTTTTACAGTCAAGTTAAGCCAATAAAAAAAAAATGATGAGCCATAAGATGTGAAAATTAAGATAAATATTCTTTCCTTTCTTTAAACAGCTTTCTTAATTACAGTGAGAGGCAGGGCCCATTCTGAAAATGATGCTAGTTATTGCTAGCTGCCGATAGGCTAAGGAGGACAATAGTGTTTTTGCCCATTTCTGTCATAATTTCTCATGAATCACTGGTTTAATTTTTATGAAACTCCAAAAAAAATTTATTAGGAAAAGTAATTAAAGTAACTCTCCAAAAGTTATTATTGTCAGTGTTTAAAATTAATAATAGTTTGATATATTATAGAAATTATTATCCACATAGTTTTAGTTTTTATTGCGTTGTGTATATGTTAAGTGTATGTAAAAGTAAATAATAATATTTAGAGTTATGCAAATTTTTTACTTAGTGTTCGTTTTTCATTCTTGAGTTCAGGTAATATTTATTGTACAGTACAAAATACAGATAAGCTCAAATATTTTTCTTCAAACCTTGATAGACATTCAGTTGAGAAAGAGGATCACATCTCATAATAGAACTCCATTTCCATTTTATTCATGTACCATGATCCCTTGGAGTACTCTGAAACTATCCTTTCAGTACCCTGGTATGTACCCTGTACAGACACCCAATAAATTACATTTATTTATTTTGTACATTAAACATATAGATAATCAATGATCATGCGAGTCTGTCCAAACGACACCATACCGGATTTGTTGAGGCCCGGGTTAACAACAGCCACCATCAGTGCTGCTGACAGAGTGCCAATGGAAATTATGCCTGGTCCTTGGTGTGCTGGGCTGGCTTCCCTCAGCTGCTACTCTTTGCTGGTCTGGCCCCCCGCCTGGGGCCGGCTTGCTGTCGCTGTTGGGTGGGTGGGGCACATGGACGGCACAACAGAGGCTCTGTCGGGCTGTCTGTGTGTGCCTATTTATGTCTCGGGTTGGGTTTTAGGTGGTCCGTTCTCTTGGATCAAATTGGGCCCCCCATTTAATGTGGGGTCTACTTCCCCCATCGCGCTCCCCTCCGGTGGCGGGCCCCCCTGCCGCTGGTGCATTGATGGCTCTCGGCATCTGGGCTGGGTGATTGAGTGTGTGCCGGCCAGCCATGGTGGCTTCCTGCCGGGGCCTGGGTGCCCTGGCTCTGTCGGGCCTCTGTTGGGGGGTGGTTTGACCTCGGGACTTTGGGCTTGGTATCCATGACCTGATCTACTCTGGAGGGGTGGGTTACCAGCAGGGCCTGTGGGCTCGTCACTGCAGCCTCCTGGGATCTCTGCATTGTGGTTGCTGGGGGTCGCCCAGGGCTTCCCGCTGTTTCTCTCTGGGGGGGTGTGGTTGTCCCTGCTGGGGGGACTCTGCTCTGGGCTTGGGGCCCGCTGTGTGTCTGTGGCTCCGGTCCTCCCTGTGTTACCATTGTGTCCTGTGGGGACGGGTCTGTGGGTCCCCACATCCACTATTGAACATTCTTATAAAGAAACCTTATAGTGACAAGCATGCTCACACAGGTGTTTAGATTCAGGTGTTTATCAGATACACACTCATTTAGGTTGTGGTGCCCAATAAAAACATCTTGTATTACCATGTACCGTATTAAATATTTTCTAATGACGTTATAAGTATCATTATATATGTTGTTTGTTGTTGTGGTTTCTCGTTTTTTTTCTTTTTTTTTCTTTCCGCAGGTCTAGAGGCAGACTTCAATGATGCTGATTTGTGTTCTCTTTATACCTCTCTCTCTCCTCTACTCCTATCTCCTTCTTTCCCTTTTAATCCTTCTCCCACTTTTCTGCTTTGTTTTCTTCTTTGTTTTTTCATCCCCGTGTCCATTACATCTGAAACAAACCCCAAGCAAATTCTAATAAAGTTTTATTATATCAAGTGGAGCATTAAGGCCAGCCATAATGTTCTGTTTGTGAAAGTAAATCTGTTGGGCTTCACCTTGACACTCAGACAATAAATCTGAGTGCCACAATGCTGAACAGGCCAAAGGAGAAAAAAAAAGATGAGGAAACAATGACTAGGGGTGCAGACTTGGCTGATGGGGGACCAGTGACTAGAGATGCAGGCTTGGCAGATGGAGGACCAGTGACTATGGATGCAGGTTTGGCAGACGGGAGACCAGTGACTATGGATGCGGACTTGGTAGATGAGGAACCAGATGAGGAAGCAAGGACTGCAGCAAGTAAACCAGGCAAGGGATCTGCTGAAGCTGAGACCACAGAGGCTGCACTCTGCATAGAGACCACCGAAGCTGCAGTCGGCATAGAGACCAGGGAAGCTGCAGTTGGCATAGAGACCACAGAGTCTGCAGTCAGCATAGAAGCTATGGAAGCTGCTGCAGGTGATGGGGTCCAAAGAGCTGCAGCTCGTGGAGACTGAGGGGCTGTAGCTGTCATGGAGGCCTAGGGGGCTAAAGCTGTCATGAAAGCCTGGGGGCTGCAGCTGTTCAATTCAATTCAGTTTATTTATATAGTGCCAAATCACAACAAAGTTGTCTCAGGGCACTTTACAGAAACATTCACATACATAAAAGCCAATTAGTAAAGTTCTTTATCTAAGGAGGCCAGCAGACAAGTTGAATCTTGGCTTTGTTGCAGTCTCCCATCCTGAGCAAGCACAGTGGCAGTAGCTGTTAAATGGTAAATGGACTGTATTTATATAGCGCCTTTCTATCTTATATCAAGATACTCAATGTGCTTTACACTACAATCTGTGTCCTCATTTACCCATTCATACAGCACTCTACTAGAGCTCTACAAAGCTAATTGAACAAATCATTCTAAAGAGACTAATCAGTGCTTTATCACATTCAAACACTGATGGAACACACATTGGAGGCTATGAGGGGTTCAGCGTCTTGCCCAGGGACACTTCGGCATGTGACTGCTGATGGATTTGAACCCCCAACTCTCGCATTGGAGGACAACTGCTCTAACCACTCAGCCACAGCTGTCCCTGTTGAGGAGGCCTGGGAGACCGCAGCTGTCGAGGAGGCCAGGGGAACTGCAGCTAGTGTTGAAACCACTGGGGCTACAGCTGGCATCGAGACAATCGAGGGTGTAACTGGCGTCGAGACCACTGGAGCTACATCAGGCGACAAGATCACAGGGGTTGCATCAGACATCTAGACCACAGGAGGCGTAACCACTTCGGGAGGCATGGAACACTCACAAGGAGTGGTGCAACCCTTGGGAGTTATGGTAGAACCCACCAGGAGACATGAAGGTGTTCTGTCACCAAGTCTCCACCACTTTGTTGGCTGGGGCTGGCCCCCAGTAGGTTTAGCCTTACTGGACTGAACAGGCCCTGCCAAAGGCAGAGGAGAAGGTGCTGGTGACACAGAAGATGAGGGGTCTGTAGCTGACATGAGACCGTGGAAGTAGTGGCAGATGTGGGGACTGTGTAGAAAGAGGCAGACGTGGGGCTGTGGAGATGGTGACAGATGTGGGGGCCATGGAGGCAGTGGCAGATGTGGGGACACTGGAGGTTGCAGCTGTTGTGGGGGCAGTGGCAGATGTGGGGGCTGTGGAGGCTGCAGCTGTCAATGAGACGGCAGCCGACTTGAGGATCTTGGAGGCGGCAGCCAACGTGAGGGTCTTGGAAGCGGCAGCCAACGTGGAGATCTTGGAGGCAGCAGCCGACATGGGGGTCTTGAAGGCTGCAGCCGACATGGGGGTCTTGAAGGTGGCAGCTGACATGGAGTTCTTGGAGGCGGTAGCCGACGCGCCCACCAAAGTTGTGGGTCTCGCCAAAGACGTGGGTTCTGTCCAAGGCATGGGTCTCGTTGAAGGCATGGGGCTCGCTGAAGGCGTGGGGCTCGATGAAGGCATGGAACAAGGGAAAGCCTCTGAGGGGTATGTGCTAAACCTGGCATGGAACATAGTCATTATAAACTGCATTTGAATGTCCAAAGTAACTATGGAGCCCTCAATACAAGAGAGCCATTCTTGTGTCAATAAATCAAGAAAAAAATATTGCAGCTGCAGAAGGGAGTGAGGACCCAACTATGGTAACACATCTTCACAGGCAAATGGGGTGAGAGCCACCTGTAAGATCATGCAGTGATGACGTCACCGTCATTGAGTGAAGCGCAGCTGTAGAGCAGAGTTGTAACTGACATGGTCTTTCCAAAGGAAAGGTCCAGGCATAAAGGTGGGGGTCATACACAGGGGGTCAGAGGTCCAGAAGACAAGTCCATTGGACAATCCATAAATCCAAAAGGCAGAAAACGAAAATGTACCAGGGTCAGATGGGCAGAGAAGAATCAGACAGAGAGCAGGCAGAGCGGTAAATCCAAAATACCAGGCATGAGGTTGAATCCAAAGAAGCAAGGCTTGAGGTAGATAGAAGATGTCAGGTGTAGTGAACTAGGCCTCCGACCTCAACCTGTCTCTGAAGACCTTCAGGGGACAGGAACTGTTATTTCATTGATCTGAATCCAGAAATACAAATTATCTCATTAAGAGACTATTTAATTGTATCCTGAATTAATCAATTGAAAGAACACTCTTCCTTTTTTCATTATCATTACTATTTTAAGTAATAGATAATCCAAAGTGTGTTTAGTTCAAACCATTTCTAAATGTTGAAGTGAACCACTCATTTAAATCAAACAGTATTAATGATTTTTAAACCTCATTAGACTTAGAAATCAAGTTAAATGTCTATTTACAAAGTAATTGTGCATTTTGATCTTCTGTCTGAATGAGTGGATTTGATGTCAGTCAGAAGTCAGGGATGTCGGTCAGAAGTCAGAAAGCAAGTTATGAGAACGAAGTGCCTTGTTTTAAAACTCTCAGACAGTAAATAAGAAGCTGGCACCTGCAAAGTTTCTCAATTCTTCAAAATATTTTTCTCGTCTGTAACTAACCGTTCTTAAACATTTCTGCTGTCTCTTGACT